CCCTCTTTCCGACACCCGTTTTCCCGAGGACGAGGATTCGTAACGAGAAATCCAATTCTGGTATTCCGGTGGCTTCATGCTCCCTCGCAATGGCTCTGGCCCTATCGTGGCTAAGTTTCACCATCTTCAGTTCCGATTCCTCAGCTCGTATCAGCATTGCGAGGTGTATCCGATATAAAACCTTGGAGATTAGAAGATTATTATTCTGCGACTGCCCAAATCTCTGCACGAGGCGAAGGAACTTTATTTGGAGATCTCCGATCTTAGCTAGCGGGTTGTTTTTCTTTTCCCTAAGATCGAACGAGGACTGAGAGACACCGGGCAGATTTTCGATATCGCCACTGGTTGAACATGGCGTGTCAGAGCGGATCACGGGTTCCGGCAAACTAGAGGCTTGAGCTGAAAACCGAAATATGAAAAGACGATATCAAAATAGTATTCAGACAACATCAAAACAGATGTAAATGGGAACTAAAAACCGATATGGATTGGGTCAGCATCCTGATTAAGGATCAGAAAGTGATCCAATTTAGAAGTGAATCGATTCTATAAGCACAAGAAGTAATCAAGTAGAATAAATCAGAACATACAAGAACACCGTTTCAGATTCTCATTGTTACTGATAAATTCCAACCCATGAACCCACCATATCAGTCATCATCAAAGAAGATAACAGCCGCTATTACCATCAATAGATAATAATCGTACGGAATGAAGAAAGATAAGATAACGTTACATTGGCCATTACGCTCTTCGGATTGGAGTTCCCCTCGGAGAAAATGGTCACTGCCTGAAAGTGGTCTTGTCGACGCCATTGAGTTGGATAGAGTGAAAACCCAGTCTCTGAAACCTTTCATCCCACCTGAACAAAGTTTACGACAAAAAAAGATGGGGAATTTCATCATTTTTAAGCTAATAAACGAGGATAGAACTCACTCATTACACAACAAACACGCCAACAAGCGAGGAACCCATTGTCTGAATCCACAGAAACTTAGTTTATACAGCTCCAGAACATGTTTTAAGAGTGAATAAAACCCGATTTAGTGTAAGGAATGAATCCATTTTCCAAATTCTCCTCGCAATGTAACGCATTAAGCTTAGTTAACCAATCAATCATCTCAACATTCAACATGGGATTGCTTAGTTCATCATCAACATGTGAAACTATTGACCATAAACTCAGGTAAGCAAAAACGCTCTTGCACTTGAAAAATTGAACCCAAAACCATTCTTTGCAGCGAATTTCAGGAGCTGGGGGATCCCACAAAACAAAGTAACAGACGAAAATCAGACAAAACCCACAAAATAACTACGGAAATGAAGCTAAGAGATCAACCCTAAAATCTAATCCAAGCGCAGGAAAGCAATTTATACGAAGAACAAGCAGAGGCATGAATTTCAACCGTACAATCTCTACAACACGAAACATCACAGACAAAAGCATCGAGAGAATCACTTGAGCACGAAATGGTTAAAACTCCCGGTAGTTGGTCGGAAATTTCAATCCGAAGCTTCACAAAAAAAGAATACCCAATCGGAATACAAAAACAAAACGCCCAGAGATCGATCGAAGAGAGAAAAAGGATTGACAAATTGGACGAAAAGTAATTTAAATTGAGAACACGAACCAGAAATTCGGATCCCAGATTGGTTCAGAAGGGGAGAGAGCTTATACGAGAGGAGGGCTTGTTGGCGATGGCGTCCGTACGGTGAAAGTGAAACCGAGAGAGACAAAAGGCTGAGAGGAGAGAGGATCAAGATAAGACAGAGAGAGATTGGTCGAGAAATCCAACCATTTTTTTGTTCTTTCTTTTCTTTACGGTTGTTTGGTTGTGTGACCACGCACACGAGGAAAAAAAACACAAATAAATCAATAAATGATATTTTTTAGAAAATCTTGCAAGTTATTAAATATCTATATAAAATATATTTAAAATTTGTTTTATATATAAAAATGGTTACGAAAAATCAAATTTCCGCTGCAAATTTTAAAAGAACGCGACAAAGATTACAACTCATCAAAAATCTTTTTTTTTTTCTGAATTGTTTTCAGTAATAAAAGTTTTCAAAAGCGATATTATTCTTCGGTTTATCCTCCTCCTAAGCGCAAATACCTCAACATTTAAAATGTGGGATACTCGAAATTTGGTATACCTCTATACAACAAGTCCCCAATCGGGTTCTAAGGCTATGCAATAATCTAAATTTGGTTAGTTCAATCGGTGAAACGAGACATAAAACGTCTATTCCGTCCCGAATTCGAATCTCAAATTTGTGAAGGACATATATATATATATATATATTCTAAATCATATAGCTGATCCGACCCGAAATTAGTCTGGATTTTGGTTCAAGATATTCAATTACAAAAAAAAAAACACGGAGGTGAACATGGGTGGTCGCCAAATTTTTTGGATAACCCGACCTAGCACTCGCTCCCTCGAGTTCCTCATCCGAAGTATTTCGGTCTCATTCTCATGATAGTCGGGTATCCGTGGTCCAAATATTCGGTACTTGGGGACGGGTACTCGATGGTCCTCGGGTTTTGGGCAAAAACACTAGTAAAAGAGAAACTGAACCACAAGAACGTCATTTGAAGACGAAACGGATGATAATATAAAATTCGACGTTTTAGTTCGTTTTTTAAATAATAAGAGGAAAGTCTTGCGGCGTGGCCTTATGACATCGTGGTTTGAAGGAGGCCAAGTCTTGCGGCGTGGACCGAGCTTCTTGTTTCCTGCTGCTAATTTTGCACGTGGGTTGAATATTTCCCCTTTGGTTCAGCTGATTTTCAGTTTGTAATCTACCTGTCGTTAGATTTTGCTATAAATAGGACAATAGAAGATTCATGGCGGGCCAAGTAAAGGAAGCTAAACTCTATTTTTCTCTATCAGAATCTGAATGAAGTATGGAGAGGAACGAGATAAGGGGAGGGACAGTGGCTGTGGCCATCGACCGAGAAAAGCCGAGCCACCTCGCTCTCAAATGGGCCGTCGAGCATTACATACCGCGGAGCTGGTCCATAAAGCTCGTCCACGTCGTCCAGAGATCGACACCGAGCAACGATGGACCTCTCCCCGACGACGACGAATCCGAGAGAAAGAACAATGCCAGAAGAAGCTCTGATCTTATGTTTCCTGCGCTTCGCTGCCTTTGTCTACGGAGAAACGTAAGTTCTCGAGACGGGTTTCGAACGTTTTTCTTGACGTGATGGTGTCTTTTGACGTTATTGTCGAGACATCCGGATTCAGATTTTCGGCTACCCGTCAAAATACCCGGCTACCCGACCTGTCCCCACCCCTAACTATCACGAGCTTTCTGCACTTTTCCTCGCAGATACAAAGCGAAGTGGTGTTACTGGAGGGACAAGATGTGGCGAAAGCATTGGTGGAATACATCGCTCAGAATTGCATCGGTACATTTGTGTTAGGTGCCAGCGTAAAGAGGAGCATTACCAGGTCTAATCCATTTGTCCGAAACTACGTTTCTCTTTATGTTGTTGTTCGGCTGGACGTCGATACCCGAACCCGCGAGTATTTGTCCTTCGGTATCCGAAATTTGGGAACTCGGGACCTTCATGAGATCGTAAATGGATTTTTCGCCAATGGGAAACCGGGTTCAAGTTCGGATACCCGACTTTTGCCCATCCTTACTCGTCGAAATTTCCTATACCAATAGTTGATTTTGATGATTTGTTCTGAAGGCTATTCAAGGGAGAAGACATTCCAAGTAATGTTATCAGATGGGCACCGGATTACTGCAGTGTTCTTGTTGTATCAAAGGGAAAGCTCTCAAGCGTACGGTCCGCAACCCGTCAAATACCTCGATCGTTCCCGACATCCGCTGCTCGAGACACTTCCTCGTCACCCCATCTCGTTACCGTTCACGAGGCTCCCTCTGAGATGTGAGTTTCCTACCTGAAAATTTCAGAAACCATATTAACATTCTCAAGTGTATTCCATTTAGCAATCTATGGTGTGTGTGTTTTTTGTTCAATGCAAGGTCATTGTCTAGAGAAGATTATGTTTTGCTGGAGATTTCATCTCTGGATCCCGATACCGATTCTGCTGCAGGGATAAGCACGGATAGTTCGCTCTTATCGTTCTACAAGAACCTCGGGTCTCGAAACATGTCGGGGATTTCTCGTGTAGCGAGTATGGATTTGAAGCTCCATGAGAAATCCAAGTTTTCGGTTGATCTTTCCGGCTCTCTTGATATGCCATCAATCTCAGAATGGGCTCCAAAAATAGATGCATCCTTGGGAAATGAGGTAACGGACTTCGTTTTCGTTTTCTTGGAGATTTCGCGTCGTTTAGCTCGGAGAAATAGGATCAAATCAGACTCCTGTTTGCCATTCATGTTTCAGGAGGAGGTTGAGTTCGAGACGAGACGAGTGAAACTCGAGCTGAAGCAGATGACGGAAATGTATCACGTCGCATGCAGAGAAGCATCAGCGGCAAAACAGAAGGCTTCGGAGCTCGAGACGTGGAAAAAGAAAGCGGAGAAAAGGATTCGGATGGCTGAAGAGATGACAATGGCGATTGTCGAGATGGAGAGATCGAAACGCAAGGAAGCGCTCGAGAAGGCGGGAACGGCTCAGAGGCTCGTAGATATCGATGTTCGGAGAAGGGTCGATGCCGAGAAAAAGGCGGCGGTGGAAATTTACGAGAGGAGAACGGTTTTAGAAGCTGTCGGAAAGTCTCGGATCGTTAAGAAAGAGAGCTTACTCTATATCTCGGTCGTTCTGTTTCTGTTGTATCTGTATTTCTCTATGTTCAAATGAAGAGAAATAACTCTGAAACAAAAAAAAAAAATGTCTTCTCCCGACATAGATTTTGTGGATAGGAGCTTGTTTTTGTTGAAATAGGAAAATGAATATGTGATTGAAGAAAATATTAATTTTAAGATATGATTAGCAATAATAATGGACATAATGTTATATCAAATATTGTATATCGATCTTATTTATTTCTATTTCCTTTTTATTTCGTTTCATAGTTTTCCTATAAATATGTGAGTTATTTTCATTGTAATTCAAGAAGAATAAGAGATGTAGCAATAAAAGTAATTTCGTTCCTTTCTATTTGTCTTATTTTCTTTTCGCATTTTATTTTTCTACAGTTTTTATATCGATCTGTAACAAAAATGTCTTCGAAATTGAACGACCGTTTCTTGTCACACAAGAAACAACTCTGAAACTCATTATTATTATTATTATTATTATTATTATTATTATTATTATTATTATTATTATTATTATTATTATTATTATTATTGACAAAAAGAAGTCAAACCTATAAACTCTAAGATCAATCGAGGTGCTATGACAAAAAGAGTTAAAGGTAAAACTTCAAAGTCAAGCGAAGTGATTTGAAAATGGGTAATACTCTCTAAAAGAACTAAATTTGGTGCTTATGGATTTTTCAAAAGACAATGAAAATATCTATGGGTTTTTATCGCATTATCTTTTCAAGATTGATTTTTGCATTCTTTCAAAATCAATCTTGAGGGGTAATGTTGAAATAGTAAAATGAATATGTGATTGAAGAAAATATTAATTTTAAGATATGATTAGCAATAATAATGGACATAATGTTATATCAAATATTGTGTATCGATCTTATTTATTTCTATTTCCTTTTTATTTCGTTTCATAATTTTCCTATAAATATGTGAGTTATTTTCATTGTAATTCAAGAAGAATAAGAGATGTAATGTTGAAATAGTAAAATGAATATGTGATTGAAGAAAATATTAATTTTAAGATATGATTAGCAATAATAATGGACATAATGTTATATCAAATATTGTGTATCGATCTTATTTATTTCTATTTCCTTTTTATTTCGTTTCATAATTTTCCTATAAATATGTGAGTTATTTTCATTGTAATTCAAGAAGAATAAGAGATGTAGCAATAAAAGTAATTTCGTTCCTTTCTATTTGTCTTATTTTCTTTTCGCATTTTATTTTTCTACAGTTTTTATATCGATCTGTAACAAAAATGTCTTCGAAATTGAACGACCGTTTCTTGTCACACAAGAAACAACTCTGAAACTCATTATTATTATTATTATTATTATTATTATTATTATTATTATTATTATTATTATTATTATTATTATTATTATTATTATTATTATTATTATTATTATTTCATGAAGATTTGTTTCAGATTTTTATTGCTTAGAGATTTTGTTTCTTAGAGTAGAAGTTCCTAAATCCTTTTCCCTGAAATATAACCGAGATTCTGAATTTCACCTAATCATATTGGTTTATGCAAAAAAAAAAAAGGTTTGGGCGTGTATTGTTAGAAAAATAATAAAATAAAATAAAAGTATAGAAATATATTTTTGAGATATAATCAAACTTTTAATGATGGAAAAAAATGTGTGTATTATTTTCTAAAAAATATTAATAAAATCACAGGGAAGCTCCTACATCCAACGGCTCGTATTAGTCTCAATTCAAATCCGCCGATTTTTGCCCCTACTTTTCTCTCTCTCTCTCTCCCCCGCTGCGAAATTCTGGATTTTCTTGCTTCGAGGCCGTTCGATTTCTCCAGCAAATCCGCCATGGAAGGAGGTTTTTTCTCCGTTTCTTCTCGATGCTTTTGGGGATTCGTGATTTTTCGTTCGATCTGTGTTTCTGATTCGTTTTCTCAGTGATTCCCTGATTTTCTTTGGTTTCCTGTCAGATCGAAACCCCGAAATCTACAGCGACAATGCTAAGGATTCTCGATTCCGAGACTGGTAAGCGTTTACTTTGTTTGAATTGGGAATTCAGTAGACAAAACCACAAGTCTCTATCAATGTCCTAACGATATTACACGATTCAAGACTGTAATTAAGGCGGACTGTTCACTTTCTGAAACAGAACACTTGTATATGTCTCTTTCATCTCTTTTCTACGTTTCATGGACGTTTTCTTACTACAAGATCTTAGTTCTATCTATGCAAAAAAAGAGATTCTAAATAGCTTCATAAGTTTCGTGAAGTTAACTGTTGTAGGAGATTGCGATATTCCACGGGTTCCCAAATTGGGAAAATGTTTTCGAGTTTAGGGTTTTGATTCTCAAGTTCAGTTTCTAACTTGGCTCCAACCTCTTGAACCGAACTTAAACCATAGATGAGTTATGTGTAATAGCCCATCAAGCTTGTCCGAAATCAAACCCAAGCATTCGTTATACTATTTTTGGAAAAGGAAGGTGAGCCAAAAAAAAAGACCAGACACGTAAAAAAAAAAGCATCACCAAAAATAGGAAACTGTGGGAAACCACAAGTGAAGAGCAATGGACAGAAATAATTACCGAAATGAACGAAGGATCGCTGATTAGGGTTATAAGTGTAAGAGGAGATCCATCGTTTTCAAACTGCTTGCATGAAACAAAGGAAAGAAAAGGGAGAGCAAAGCGTTTGTTCTTGTTTCTTGTAATGCAAGCTTCTTCTTCTTCTCTTTTCCATTCTCTCGTAGCATCCTCTTGAAGAGGAGCTCTTGAGAAGGAGAAGGAGGAGGCAGGAGCCAAGCCGAGCCGTCCATCGGGTTTTCATTTCTTTTATTCTTTTATATCATATCTCTCTTCGAAAAACAAAACAAAAATGGCGTCTGATATTTCATGGGAAGAACTCAAGAACGAGAGCATAGATCTCGTAAGACGGTTTCCGCCTCACGCCTCTTGTTTGATTCTCGGTTTCATCATCCCTTTCGCTACAGATATGCAAAATTTTCATATTTTTAAGTCACTTATGCGAGTTTTGTACGCTGATGTAGGAGAACATCCCTGTGGAAGAGGTTTTTGCACAACTGAAATGCTCGAGGGAAGGTTTATCGAGCGAAGATGGGAAGAAGAGGCTCGAGATTTTCGGCCCAAACAAGCTCGAGGAGAAATCCGATAACAAGTTTCTGAAATTTTTAGGGTTTATGTGGAACCCTCTGTCATGGGTCATGGAATCCGCGGCCATCATGGCCATTGTTTTGGCCAACGGAGGAGGAAAGCCGCCGGATTGGCAAGACTTTGTCGGTATCACTGTCTTGCTTATCATTAACTCAACCATCAGTTTCATCGAAGAAAACAACGCTGGTAATGCGGCGGCCGCTCTCATGGCAAATCTTGCCCCCAAGACAAAGGTATAAAAACACAAACTTTGATAAGAACTCTCGTGTTTCAATGTCTGTACACGCAAAATATTGCTCTTTCATTCGCTTGAAATGCTCACACCAAATAAAAAATATATTATTACATACACTTTGGAATTACGTAATTTCCGATTCGCTCTATCTCTTGGCTTGAAGGTGTTAAGGGACGGGAAATGGGGCGAGCAAGAAGCCGCAATTCTGGTTCCTGGTGATCTAATCAGCATCAAGTTGGGCGACATTGTTCCCGCCGATGCTCGTCTCCTTGAAGGAGATCCTTTAAAGATCGATCAATCCGCTCTCACCGGTGAATCCCTTCCCGTAACCAAGATGCCAGGTGACGAGGTTTTCTCGGGCTCAACCTGCAAACAAGGCGAGATCGAAGCAGTTGTTATCGCTACCGGTGTCCACACCTTCTTTGGCAAGGCTGCTCACCTTGTGGACAGCACAAACAACGTTGGACACTTCCAAAAGGTGCGTATAGACTAAAAAACATCGATCATTCAGACAATATCTTTCGGATTTTCATCTTTTCTCGCTGTTGTTTCAGGTTCTGACAGCGATCGGTAACTTCTGCATCTGCTCAATTGCACTGGGAATGCTTGTCGAGCTTGTGGTAATGTACCCTATCCAACACCGAGCATACAGAGATGGTATCGACAATCTGTTGGTACTTTTGATCGGAGGAATCCCGATCGCGATGCCGACAGTTCTGTCCGTGACAATGGCCATTGGATCTCATAGACTATCTCAACAAGGTGCTATTACCAAGAGAATGACTGCCATTGAAGAAATGGCTGGCATGGATGTCCTTTGCAGCGACAAAACCGGAACCCTAACTCTAAACAAGCTTACCGTCGACAAAACCCTAATCGAGGTCAGTGCAACGAGATCCCCTACAGTCTCATATACACATATATATAACAAATATACATGATTGAATGATTTGCCACTCTCTTTACCTTTTGGGGTTGATACTTGCATTTGCAGGTGTTCCCGAAAGATTTGAATACCGACGGTGTTCTCCTTCATGCGGCTAGAGCCTCAAGGACCGAGAACCAAGATGCCATTGACGCATGCATTGTTGGAATGTTGGGTGATCCGAAAGAGGTACCTCATCTTTCTCCGGTTAAACATGATTTCTCGTCTTTTTGGATTTTTTTTCTCACGAGCACTTGCAGGCAAGAGCTGGAATCACCGAGGTGCATTTCCTGCCCTTCAACCCTGTAGAAAAGCGTACCGCAAACACATACATCGATGAGAATGGTGGTTGGCATAGGAGTAGCAAAGGTGCTCCTGAGCAGGTAATGACAAGACAACAAAAGATGATTATGTTTTTTCCCCATCTTCTGTTTTATCTTGTTGTACCTGAAACTGAAGAAGAGTTTTTCTCGAAATCAGATCATCGACCTTTGTGAACTCAAGGGAGAGATGAGGCGAAAAGCCCATGAAATCATCGACGGTTTCGCAGAACGTGGACTCCGTTCTCTCGGAGTAGCCCGACAAGTAAGTTATTGTCATCTCCTTCAGTAAGATCTTCAATCCATGGAGACTTTTGTCCTGCACTAGTAAAAATTTATGTCAATCCAATTTTCAGACAATACCAGAGAAGACAAAAGAAAGCGATGGAAGCCCATGGGAATTCGTCGGTCTGTTGCCGCTCTTTGACCCTCCGAGGCACGACAGTGCCGAGACAATAAGACGTGCCCTTGAGCTCGGTGTCAATGTCAAGATGATTACAGGTGATCAACTCGCCATTGGCATAGAGACAGGTCGTAGACTTGGCATGGGAACCAACATGTACCCTTCTTCTTCACTTCTTGGCACATCCAAGGATGGCTCACTTGCTGGTATCCCCGTCGATGAGCTCATTGAGAAGGCCGATGGATTCGCCGGAGTTTTCCCCGGTATATACATAAAGATTCAGTATCAAGATTCAGTTTTTCTGAAGATTCATCCATTTTTCTCACGATACTTTCTTTGTTTCTACAGAACACAAGTATGAGATTGTGAAGAAGCTCCAAGAAAGGAAGCACATTTGCGGTATGACTGGAGATGGTGTGAATGATGCTCCGGCTTTGAAGAAAGCAGATATCGGAATCGCGGTGGCCGATGCAACTGATGCGGCCCGAAGCGCCTCGGACATTGTTCTGACAGAGCCAGGATTGAGTGTGATCATCAGTGCAGTGTTGACGAGTCGTGCCATCTTCCAAAGAATGAAGAACTACACCATCTACGCGGTTTCGATTACGATTCGTATCGTTCTCGGGTTCATGCTTGTTGCTCTGATCTGGAAATTCGATTTCGCGCCATTCATGGTTTTGATCATCGCGATCCTTAACGACGGAACCATCATGACAATCTCTAAGGATAGAGTGAAACCCTCTCCTGTCCCTGACTCTTGGAAACTCAAGGAGATTTTCGCCACTGGCGTCGTCTTGGGAACCTACATGGCCCTTGCCACAGTGCTCTTCTTCTGGCTTGCTCATGACACCGACTTCTTCTCTGTAAGCACAACACAATATCAAACACATACGTATTATCCGCTCGTCGTTTCTAATGAAGAAATCCAAATGAACTTGCAGGCAACATTCGGTGTGAGGTCAATTCGAGGGAATGAGGAAGAGCTCATGGCAGCTTTATACCTTCAAGTGAGCATCATCAGTCAAGCCCTTATCTTCGTTACCCGATCAAGGAGTTGGTCATTTGTGGAGCGCCCGGGGCTTTTGCTCGTTATAGCCTTCATCTTGGCTCAGTTGGTTAGTAGTAACCTCTCTAGTATCCACAATTCCCGAGCATTTTAGCGTACGTTTTTATTCTGAAATGTGCTCGTTCTCTCCTTCTATCACAGCTGGCTACTTTGATTGCCGTGTACGCACAATGGGAATTCGCGAGGATCGCAGGTTGTGGATGGGGATGGGCCGGAGTTATCTGGTTATACAGTATCGTCACATACGTTCCTCTCGACATCCTCAAGTTCATCATCCGCTATTCTCTCAGTGGCAAGGCCTGGGACAACATGATCGAAAACAAGGTGAAAGAACATAAGATCACTTCAGAAAAAAACTGAAAACTATGTAGTCATAAATTCATACTCAGACATCTTCATCGTTGCTTTTGATGTTTCATAGACGGCTTTCACAACGAAGAAAGACTATGGAAAGGGAGAGAGAGAGGCTCAATGGGCGTTAGCTCAACGTACCCTTCACGGCCTTCCTCCTCCCGATGCGATGTTCCATGACAAGAACCACGAGCTATCGGAAATAGCCGAGCAAGCGAAGAGACGGGCTGAAGTTGCAAGGTAAGCAGTTTCTTCAAGCGCACATTCATGGAGATCAAGAAAATTTCCGGACTTACTAACAAGCGGAAGCTTTCAATCGGTTTTGCAGGCTGAGGGAGCTTCACACTCTCAAGGGCCACGTCGAATCCGTCGTGAAGCTGAAGGGACTCGACATCGATACAATTCAGCAACACTACACTGTCTAAACAAGATCAAAGTCTTTCCAATGAATGTTTATTAGTAACCATAATCATTGTATTCTCATTCCTTTTTTCATTTATTTATCAAAACAACTGTAAAAGAGAGCTTAATCGAGAGATGTTTTGCCCATGGGACCAAAAATATAGTCGTAATACGTAAAAGAAAAACAATCCACTTGCATTTTATTTCTGTTACTGCAATTCCTGATCCAAAAAAAAAACAGCCCAAAACGCTCAAGGTCTAGAGTTTTTGTAGTAAGAACACGGTTCATATGCATATCATCACAGTGAAATGCAGTTCCAAATACACGAGCTATATATACCCGAAACCCATCTATCTTCCTTATTACTTGGCCAAAAATATCAGAACCGAAGATCAGTGAAGGTATCCAGCATGTTCAAGGTACCATATTGCCGCTTCAGCAGCGTGCTCAGCTGCGCCTTTCTTGGTCGGTTTGGCTGCACCATAGCACTCCAATGTCATATCAGGGGTGTCTTCTATTACTATGATAACCTTGTACACGAATCTGCATTTACATGTGATAGACTACGTGAGTAAATATTACTCGTAACGCAAAACGTTGAAATGCTCAATAAAATCGGTTTTCTAGGTAGTAAAAGGCGAAGAAACTGTCCAGACAGTCTTGTGTTCAGTTCATGTTTTCTTTTTCATGTTCACGTCTTCGGCATAGATATGATAATTTGAGTGCAGGTATTGGTAATACCGTATTACAGATCAGATTGTCAAGAGATGAATCAATGACGGATGTTACTTACGATTTCAAGTGGCCAGGACCTTCCTCCTCGCAACATTGGAAATCGGGTGATTTCCAGCAATGGGCAACGCATATTTCGTGCAGGAGGGATCTTGCTGTTTTGTTATTTGATCCACCTGTTTGGTCATTACATAAGATTAACTAAGGAAACTGACCAAATCTACCACTATTAAATCGATATATACAAAAACTCGTAATAGCAGTAAGATAATAGAATCTGACCTTTAGTTTCTGAAGTTTTCGGCATACTTACTTCACTGACAGTTTGTTCAGAAAGACGTTCTCTTGTTTCAGACAACTTCCCGGTGATAACTGGTTTAATGCGATACGAGGAACCTGCTTCATCAGCCTTGGTCTCTGTCACGACGGGATAACTTTGAAAAGATTCTTCCAAATTCAGATTTCCAAATTTGATGACATCAAAATCCGTAACATCTACAGGTTCTTCATCGTATCCAATCAATTCAGCTTCCATTCTGCTGCTATCCTTCAAAACTTTCTCCAACGGGTTAGTTGCTGTGATGTAGCCATGAGCCTGCGTATGAATAATACACAATGAGCTCCTTAACAAACCAATTTCCATGCACGAAAAAACACGGTCAGTCCAAAAATATAAACCATGTCATGTCAGCGAAAATATACCTTCAGCTCCATAACAACAATCTCTGAAGCCTTTCTCGTGCCTTCTTTTTTGCTTCGACCGATCGCAGAAGCAATAAAGCTGGAATCCTCCTTTGTCAGTTTTATTGTAACAGAAAAACCGCCATTCACTTTCGTCACCGAAGTTTCTTTATCCCATTTCCGGGACTGGGTAAGTTCAAGCAGCGCCCGAATGGGACAGAGTTGCAAGTTTGATGTGATTTTTACTGGATCTAGAAGTGATAGCATCATTGTCCAAGCTTTGTTCAAGTTGAGCCCTGAGTCTAGAAGCATAGCCCCGAAACAAGATTCGACCAAGTCGCCGAGGACCTGCATATAATTTACGACAGCCATATTAAATTGTTCTTGTGATCCACCAAGGTGAGGGGTTTTTCACATGTATTGGATCTGCTGATCAAATGAGAAGTTAAAGGAAAAAGGAAGGCATAAAACTCTAGATGGCATTATCATCTGATTTGGAAATCATCCGAAAAGAGAAACAAAATAGCTCAAATATAGTGATTAGAATCGTGGGGGCGTGTTAACCAAGATGTTCAAGAAAGCAAATGAGAATAATGAAACTGAAATCTGCTATATCTTAAATTTCCTTAACTGGGTTCGTAAAAAAAGCATTATTCATGGAGAAAGTAAGTACATAGATTTCCCATATCTCCATAGCAGGGGTAATTCTTTGCTTTACTTAGCATAACCAAAAACAGAAAACAAAAACAAAACCGCAGACAAAGTTGGGAATACAATTTTCTTACGAGGATTCGTGATCAAGCAAGTTGCTCAATCGACACGATAAAACACAAACTTGCTTCCGAGCACTTGGAAGTAGTATTCGATCGATTATGTGTTAATCAATATTCGATTGAAAGGAAAGAACCGAGCATACCTTTGGACATTTAGGAGCTTCAGATAGTCCACTTGCTGGTGGTGACATAGTCAAGAAATCAGTATAATCTTTTATAGCTCGACGGAGAAAATCGTTGTCGCAAAAAAGAATTCTGTCCAGCGAAAGACCGACGGCAACATTAGCAAATGCCTTGTTATTTACTGAGAGTGATCGCAAATCTGTCAGTTCACCGGGTTTCAGATTCGGATAGACCGTGAAGTAATAGGACGTGATCAAGTAGTCGAGAACAGCATCCCCGAGAAACTCTAATCTCTGAAACAAATCCATCAACAAAATATCGGTTTCCGTATATGAGTAGTAAAAGTAACAAAAAGACTTGCAAGAAGAGGAGGAAGAAGATACATACCTGGTAACAGCCTCCTCCATGGCGGTTGTAAGACGGATGGACAAAGGCTTGGAGAAGTAAACCTTTGTGGAAAAACTTATAACCAAGAAGGCCCTCGAGGGCAGGCAAATCGATGTCGGCGGACAGCGGCGTGAAGATTTTCGTTTTGACGCAAGCATCAATTACTTGCACGGGTTCAAACCCGACATCTATCCCGATCCATCTAAGAAATGCAATTGCGCCTTTGAAGCCAGTGTCAACTAAAAACGCCCCGATAAGAGCCTCGACCACATCGGCTATAGTTTTCTTGTGTAAGATACAATGGCCTTTACTGCATCGGATTTCATCAACACTCGGGTCCACACGTGCAAGATCTCCGTGCAAAGAATGTATTTCTTTTGCAGCTCGATTATCACAGGCTACTTTGCATGGATGGCCAAAAGCAAAGAACTGACAAGGATCGAAGGGTTGGTCACGAATGTAAACCTGGAAGAAGTCGAGATGTAAAAAAGTGACCGGAAATTGGAAACAAGTAATATAAAATTACCAAGCATTCTTCAATTCTAAAACAAGTGATTCCAAGTTCGTACGATTTAGCATTTATAAACTGTATGCCTGAGCATGGATGGTTTCTGATTGCAAAAGGACTTCAAACAAAATATTAAAATCACCTGAAGATTGCTCCTAATTGCAAGGTTGAATAAGTTGCGATTTTTAATAATATTAGAGCGTCTCCGAGTTAGTTCTCCCTCGTCAAGGTTAGGATAGAGTAGGAAAAGCCGCCGGCTGACGACAAATTTCAGAAATGCGTCGCCGAGAACCTCGAGCCTTTCGAGAGAAAATCGTTCCTGGCATTTTTCGGTCGTAAGTGCCTCGAGTACCTGCAATTATCCGCTTATTCAGTGACAGGAAAAGGTTCATGCATTGGCAAATTCGATGAAAATCGAGCATTTTAAGGTCAGGTTATACTCTGTGACCAGCAACTTCAGCGGCCTCGGGAATTGAAGCAGAAAGCATATCTCTCAGTTCAATCGCTACGAGTAAATTCTCCAAACGATGCATGACTGATGGTAGCAAAGATAATGAACTTCCAATGTCTTTAGAAAATCCTTTTATCTTCAATTGACAAAGCTCAGGAGGAATCTCGATGAAGTATTCCTCAAGTTCATGCGGTCCTGTCTTTCCAAAAGTGAGAACATTAAGCAATAAATGAATGAGTGTATATATATATATGTGTGTGTTTGTGTGTGTGTATATATATATATAAAATGTGCATGCATGTATGTGCATATGAATTTGAAGCCGTATGGAACAGATTGATAGAGAAAAACTACCCAAATTCCTCATTTTCCGATTGTGAAGTAAGTTCCGTAGATGAAAAACTGGTTTCGCGAGTAGGAGAGGTTGATTCGGGCGCTTGAGTTCAATGCCATACCTAGTTTTGTACATATAGATTAGAATTTGATGAACTTAGAGAAAAATAATATGAAACCAAAGGCTTAACTCCTAACCAACTTTCTCGCATAAGCCATAATGCCTGGTAAGTTATCAGAAAAGAACGTAAAATAGAACATATATCCAGAGTGAGAGCAAGAAAAAAGTGCAAAATACCCAAACTACCTGAGAAAAATTGCTGTCAAAATCGTCGGTAAAAATTAGGAGTTTAGAAGCTTACTTTTTACGAACCCTCTCCGCATGGCTTTCGTTGCTTTCTCTAAATCGGCTGTGACCATTTCTTTCACGGAAAACATCAGAAACGAAGTAAAATAGCTTGTCGTGTATAGCAAAAACCAAACTGTTCTTCACGTCATTAATACTCCAAAACCCATTTGCAAGATTTACATGTAACCCTGGTGGAGGAACTACATCTTCTACAAGATCAGATGGAGCCTTGAAGATTGGAGATGACATACATTTTTTGATAGTCACCCAATCTACACTTATAGGTCTTCTAGTAGCATGCACATTAATTGGAAGCAGAAGGTAGAAGGTAGAGATACTCGTTAAAGAGGAATCCGATATTCCTAGAGGAACGAATTCTGGAATGAGCTCTTGCCGTTCAAGAATAGCTTTCAGTGCAACCTCCTGAAAAAGCTCCGCCAGCCGTATCTGCAATGGCAGTAAAAGGGTAAGATAAACAGTTCACTCAGTAAAAAATATTATTCGGTTAAGGCAGAAAATACCTCATCGCTGTTGAACTCGGTGATTCCTCTTGCAAGAAGATTCACATAAACAGATCTATGATGGGCAAGGTGAAGGTCAAGTTCCATTCCCTCACCCTCCAATGGGAGAGGCGACTTTATGAAGAGACCGAAATTTCTGTAGGCTCTATCCTCAGGAACAGGCACAAACTTTATATAATAAGAATGAAGACCCACACAATCCATTGAATTATCCCATTTTTGTTTAAATAAGGAAGGAACCAGCATTTCGTATAGCTCATTACGGGATCTTTCTTGACCTGGTAAGAAACAAAATAAGAAATTTTTGGGAAAAAAGAAGAAGGTTATCTTATACATGCAAATAGCATAGACAACCAGTTATGCACCTTCAATACTATCTGAATCAGAAGCATCGTCTATAAATTCGTCCTCGATCTCATCGTTGGACTCTGGCAACAAAAATGCATTAAGTACACCCAGTTTGTGCAACTCTCCCACCGCCTTCAGACAAGCATCCTTCTTAGCAGCTTCACTAGAAGGTTGAGGCAAGCTGACAATTTTGTGGAAAGGAGCATTGGAAGGTAAAACTAAGTGACAAATGGTTCCACTTAAATCATCGACAAAAAAGAACTCGGGCTTGGGGAGAAAAAACCTAGACAGAAGACAATTAAGATAAAAGACGGAAACTGAATTAGCACATTGTTCTAACATAATTGAATTTCAAGGAGTAAACAATTTTCCAACAAAAAATAGAGACATACTCATCGTGTGGAAGCTTGGAACAATAACGGTATAGTAGGGCAATGCTAGATCCAGCACTGACTGAAGCCCTTGTTTGATCAACTCTGTAGATCTTCTCATCAAGTCTAGGAAAGGTATCCTTTGTCGTTCTGGCAGTAATTTCCTCATTCATTTGATCTTCGTCGTTTTTAAAATTTTTAATCAAATCCATTTCTTTCTGGCTGGCCCTGCATGAAAAAAAAGAACGATTTTCATCAGTGCATGAAAGGATAGGTACAATATTATACACATGGTCTTATCGGGCATTTCCTTCAGTGCACCTGTTCACTAAGAACGCATATTCAGACTGAGGCATTCGAGCACGGCCTCTTGATTGGATGAAACTGGAAACGGTTTCTGGAAGATCAAAACGTATCACGAGACAGCACGTTTGGATATCAAGGCCTTCTTCACCAACTTTAGTGGCGACCAAAAGATTCAGCTGTAATAGAAAAGGAGTAAAATATAGAAAATTAGCTCGAGCTGACTTGATGGGTTGAGCCCTGGATTGCTAACTAATTTGATTAAAAATGTTAAAGCATCACCTCCCCAGATCTGAACCTTTCAAGTATCGCGTTCATACTATTTCTCGAGATGCTTTTCAGTCCACAGTTGACCCCGACGAGGAAATCAGATTTCCAAGAACTTAGAAATGTCAGGTTCTTTAGTATGCATGTCAAAGACCTTGCAATCACAATCCGGTTGACAAATATTATACACTTCATGTTTGGCTGTAACCTGAAAGGAAACGAGGGGAAAAAAAGGAAATTACAAATTGCCATGATTGTGAAAGAATTCTACACTACGTAAATAGTAAACTCCGGTGCCCATGTGAATGTTGATTAGAAGTACGAAATTATTTTGCCAATTGCTTAAGAAAAAAGATATGATAACTTCTCGAGATCATCCCGTGGGCATAAACCCATCAGTATTCTATCTTGTAGGTTTTAAATCACATCTTAGAAAGAAAAAAAGACTGAAACATATAAATAAAAAGACGGGTTATCCTGGACTAGAACTTCTTCCATAATGCATGCTTGCCATCTATACGGCAAATGAAATGATGGTTGTTCATTCATTGATTTATTTCACTTATACATTCTTTGAAATGTTTCCTAGGAGAATATGGTTTAACGAAAACATTATATGCCTTGTTTTATGCAATTACCCACCTGAATGAGGAAAGAATTCCAATCAACCGTAGAAGCTTTCTAGAGAAAAATGGATCCTTTAAAACCTCTACACTGGACAATTTGGATACAACCTCATCTACAATCACAGCAAAAATGAGACAACCACCCTGGTTAATAGCATATCCGCATGCAAATGAAAAATGAAGAGAAACACGGACAATCTTTTGGGAAATAGGAAGGAAGATTTTAGTGATATAATTTCCAGACGATGATATATGATAGCATAGAATGGCATCATATCATACCCTCAACAAAATCAGAAGAGAGGGCTCTTGCAGCCAGAGAAAGGTACATATCGCAGGGAGAATGATCATTGGACATTTGGTTCTCTCCCATTAGCTCCTCTCTCGCGCTATGATCACTGTTCAGTAGAATTCTAGTAGCCTTCAAAGAACCAACAATGGAAAATATTAGCAGATCATTAGATTTAATCTAATCACGGAAGGCACGAGAACAAGAATCATATAAATACCACAGGATGTAACATAGTATCAAGGCAGAAAATGAAGTATTTTACATATTCAGGCTACTTTTCCGAAATAAAGCAGGAAAAATCACACGGGATCACTCTCGAGTTTCTTTTCTAGGAATTTTTCATATGTTCATGAATCAGAAATTATCTCCGGAAACATAGTGAAGACTTCCACTAGAACAATTCACTTTCGCCTCGTTTTCCAAATTTTTTTCCTATTCTATTCCCTCTTGTAGATCTAATACCATTAGTTGTAGATTCAACACCTACTACTACTCCTTAATCCGCATCTTGTAGACTACCCTAAATCACTACCAGAAAAAAGGAACTCAAATAAGGAAGCTTAGTGAAAGAAATGGAAGCTATCAAATTTTCCAACCAGCTGATAAGGGTAATCGACACCAATTGCAAACAGGCAAGTAAACAAATACCATAAAAATTTTAAAATAGAAACTCGTTAAGGCAGAGAACAGAATCTAAATACTGATCATGCATGAAGAAATACCTGAAGTGCTCCCCAGAGGCCGAGGCTCTCCAAAGTGGAAATTATATTGTCATGTGTTCTCTTGAGAAGTTTTTTCATGTTCATGAGGCTCTGATGACTCTGAGTGTTATCTGTTTTTCCTTTTAGCGATACTACGCACTGTTCACATATGGAAGAAACATCAGCACGTAAGATCTAGACAATGAGCCTGAAGAGATATAACGACATGTTAGAACAAAGACCTGCCGCTTGATTTCCTCTAGCTTATTTTGGTATACTCCCAGGTTTGAGCAAGATGCATCATCATTCGTAGCTGAGCCATAATAATATACCCTGACAATGGGAGATGCTACAAAACTATCCAGCTCGTCGTTGTTTTCCACTGAATAAACCTATAGGACCAAGGATAAAAGAACGGTAGAACACTGTCTGGGAAGTCTAACTCAATGATGGATATCGATATAGCATAAGTACAGGAAAAAAAAATATGACCTGCTATAGCTTGCATCAAACGGTTGGTTTGATGCTCTTTGATAGATTATCAATGAAAATGTGTTCATAGCTAATAAACCTTGAAATCAAGACTTCTGAAAATCTGAACGTACCTTGGCATTGAGCAAAGTTTCGAGGCCATTTATGCTCTTTGCTAGATTCTCTTTCTGAAAAGCTCCTGTAAAACAGGTACACCTGTTAAAAACTATATCGTAGAAAGAAGAAAGATGAATAAATATTACACTCATCAGCTAGAAAGCTACAAATCTGAATTGAAAGAATATATGCCAAAAGAAACCAACCCAATAGCTAAATCTCTAGTATATACTTCCTATGTTACATATGTCATCTGGTGTCTGGTTTTATCCTTTCTCTATTAAAACTACCTGGATAACGTCAATTTCGTCGTACCAATATATTCACCTTTCCTACAGGTACATGCATACGTAAACTTTCGACGATCTGAATAATTGGTTACATCAAATAGTTGCAAAGAAAACAGGATCGGCACAGTAACTTCGTCCAGATGCATGATCCAAAGAAAGGAAGAACTTCATATTTCCTCGATCGTTCCCAAGAAGACACAAATATAAACCAAACCATGAAATGTTATATGATCACTTAGTCCATAAGAATCTCACCTGTTCAGCTTATGCTTGTATAATAAATTCTCATCTTTCGTAATGGAAAAACAATATAGATTTTATAGAATCAGGAATGTACTACTCATAAAATTGGAGCTCGGACATTTAAAAAGAAACGCTGTAATAAGGTTATACTGTTACCGAATATGATCGTGTCTACTGAAAACCAAGACAAAATATTGAGCTATCATCTATCTCAGATAATACTGCATGTGCTATACCGACGTTGTCATACACGTATATTGAATGATCCCTTGCTTTAGCACCCGAAAAGTTTAATTTTCAGCAGATTCCCTCAGAATATGAATATAGCATCCAATTGGAAATCTTTATCAACAATGGCTGGTGGCAGCAGCCATAAGAACCTAATTCTTGCTTTTAGTGATTCATCTCCGGATTTAGAAACTCGTCTATAGGAAAACACGGTACCCTAATTGTCCAAATAGGGGAAAAATAAAGACAGAGTTTCAGGAAAGGCAACCCAAACTATTCCTCTCATACTTGTTTTGGTTCACTGCATGGCCCAAACCAAAATAAATTTCATATGGTAAACAAATATCAGTATCTGCTTAGATTCATTTATTTTTCCATCTTACCGGGAACAATATATACTATTACGTACTGAATGCTTTACGCATCAATACAGGAAACATAATCTTTTGATATAGAAAGCATTCATGTCAGTAATATGTAATCAGCGTCAAAATTAAAGTTGGGACTACCTTTGCCTACAACTGGAGATGCAGTCATTCCAAATATACGAGGAAGTTTTGAACCATTTGTTTCATAGAACACCTGTGATTTTATCGAAATGAGTCAACTTTAAGCTGAATCTTATATGTCAATATCATTTTAGGGAAAGGTCGACAGTT